AAGGCCTGCATGGGTAGATCACCTGGATGATGTAATGTATGGGTGGGAAATTAGTGCCCGCTTCCTCTTCTTCTTCCTCCATCCAGGATTTGAAATTGGCAGTTTGAGATAAACTGCTTTGGACAACTGGTGAGTCAAGTAGGGCTGTACGAGCAGGAATCACTGTTAACACGGGAGCTGGATCCTTTTGTGAAGAGACCTGTGATATTATGAAGCTTTATGATGGACTCAAGCAAATGGAAATGACACTTAAATCATTGAAATAAACAATCTACTGCTACTGATCTTTCCCTTGGATTTATTTGTATCGCAGTCAACATAATCTTCACTAATATAACAAAGAAGGCTGTTGAAATGATCGAACTGTATTCTAGCAGCTTCATTCATTCTTTTTTTTTTGTGACAAAAAAAATCTCAACTCAAGGACAACTTTGCTTTTCCTGCACGTTTAAACCTTAGAGGCCAACGAATGCATCCATTCATCTATCTATCTATTAGCTATACACCGCTTAATCCTCACTAGGATCGCAGGGGGCTAGAGCCTATCCCAGCTGACTAAGAGCGAAGGCAGGTGATCGTCAGTCTATCACAGGGCTACACTTAAAGACAGACAACCAAGCACACTCACATTCACACCTACAGAAAATTTAGAATCACTAATTAACATCAACATGTTTTTGGACCATGTGGGAGGAAGCCGGAGAACCCGGAGAGAACCCACGCTGCACGGTGAGAACATAGACGCAGAAAGATCCCGGGTGTCCTCACCTAGACGTGAACCGGCGACCTTCTTGCTGCGAGGCAACGGTGCTCACCACCTCTCCACCTTGCAGCCACCAACGAATGCACTTTGTTCAAATTCACATCCGTTCTTCTTAATGAACTTGCTCTTGAGGTAGTTATTGCAGCAAGGTGCAGCACGTATCAAACTACATGGCTTGACCTCTCCAACTATGTCAGCTGCCTGTCTGTCCAACAAAGTGTCGACAAGAAACAATAACTTTGAATTTACATCAAATTTATTCACAGGTACAACTGTACAAAGCTGTGCATCCATCTCTACCTTCATTACTCTTGTTAGAATTATCTAGATATTTTAATATCTCTATATTACAATCAATGCATACATTTATTTATTTTATTTTTTGCAGTCTTTGCTGGCAGGCTCGTGTATGTGAACACTTCAGTGATTAAAATGACATTTAATTCCTTTTGGAACATATCTTTTTTTTCCAATTTCTATTTCATACAATACAGGTTCACCACAGACTTATCAGCAAATATAAGTGACTCTGTGAGCTAATTGTGGAACTTTGGGCGGTTGTGAATAATCTGTCTTTGGCATCAGATGTTTAATACGGTATCTACTGTATGTGTGTGCAGTTTCTTGCAGCAAGCTTCAGTCCTTAACAAGCATCCTGCTGGCGGACCAGTCGTAAACTCATGCTGCACATCCAAACTTTGTTTCAAAACCTTCCAAAGACACCAAACATGTCGGGATGAATTTCAGAGAAACGTATCTGAAATGATGCAAGACATCTGAAATATATTTATTCGTTGTAATGGAGCTACTACAAGAATCATGGAGTCTTGGGTTTACATGTTTCAGTCACAGTAAAGACAAACAAGTTAAAACTGTTTCATACACAACCACATACTGAAGGAGTGTCTACAGGACGGTACCTGTTTATAAGAGATCTCTGAAGACACATTTACTGTTTACTGTCTCACATTTGGAACATTTTCAGAAATATGTTTTGCAGAACTTAACTTTTTTTGGAAATACAAACCTGAAAAGACGTCACTTTAACAAACAGTCCTACTATAAGAATGCGGTCCTGATGATCTGATGGTATTAGTCAGCAATAGAGATCGAGCTCCAAAGTTTTGGAACAGCTGTCCTCTTTTATTCAAATGCTCCTTCTCCATTGATATTTTCAAGAAAACCTAAGGATGTACAGATTTAAATGGCCTTTAATGGTCTTTAATGCTCTTAATGGTCCTAATATTTCATACTTATTGTATTTTAGAAATACAAGAAAGTTTTATCAACCTAACATTTACTCCAGTGTACTCCAGATCCAATACGTTTACCTTACTTGATCAACATTTGCTTTGGTGGATCCCTTAAACCAAAATCTAAACCTCAGCAGATCATATAACAGCATCACGTCTCGTATGTTCTACTTGTCACAGATTCTAAAAAATCATCTTTATTATTAAAAATACTTTAAATCTAAAGAGCCACCAGTCTTTATCATAACTTAAGTGCATTAAACGCTGTAGAGGATCCCTATAAATATTATCCAGTGACCAATGGAGGCTACGTTAAAGTTCTCCGCTATAAAAGCAATAACAGCAGACCTTGGTCAAACAGCATTCACCTTGATCAAACAGCACTCAAGCTGGCTAAAACAAATAAATCCTGGCAGTGGTTTGAGTCTGCACACCAGATGGATGAGCTTTGACATGTCCGATAATAACTGAACGAATGAGGACGCGGCACTTCAGCCAATGACAGCAAAGCATTTGAAAGTCAATTTGATACGATTTCCTTTTGCTGTCAAATTACCTGTCTGGGTGTTTTAATGTGGTGATTTTCACCATCTGGTGCTCCAGATTCAACCCGATTGAAACACATTTGTGAATACGATTAAAATGGGAAAGACTATTCTTTATTAATACTCTTAACTGTCCCACTCTCCCAATATTTCTCCTTGGCATGTCTTTGTGCAGACGAGGTGTTGCATTATCTAATTCTTCCATAAATTCAGTGCTCTGTAATTACAAGTGCCATGTCTGACACAAGAAGACAAATTTAATGCTTCTCTCTCAGACACCTTGACTTTAGAAGACTCGGTGCACGTTAAATCACAGAAATTTGACTTTTTACTCAGAACATTTGAAAACTAAAAAGTTAGAATGGCGCAAATTTAGGATGTTGAAAGTGACTCTAAATCTGAGAGTCAAGTGGAGTGTCAGAATTAAGTTGATTTTTTTTTTTTAGATTGGAGATCTTTCAAATTTTTTTTCAGAATAAAGCCACAACTATTAGACGAGCAAAGCATTTGAGAATAAAGTTCTGATTCTAAAAATGATGAGAAAAATATTGGAATTTTTAGGGGGCTAAAAGCAAAATACCCAGAAAAAAAACAGACAAAGACAAAATTTCTAAATTTTGTAATTCGGTAAAAGCAAATTCTGGGTGAGATTTAGTTTTTTAGTTTTTTTTTTTTAATTTTGATTTAAATGTATACCTTTAATCACCATCTGTAATATAAAGTAATACATCAAGTCAAATTGTGTATCTTTAAAAGCTGAGTTAACCAGAATTTTGAGAAAAAGTTGAAATATTGATAATAACGTTGTGCAGTATCAGAACATCTGAAATCACTGTCTGACTTTTAAGCCTTAATTTTGTATTTTTTTATTTTTTCTGAAAGTAAAGTGGATTCTGAAAAGTAGGCATTTGTAGACAATTATGCTTTGAGAATAAAGGGCTGTGAAAATGTCATCTTAAAGTCACTACATTCACTCAGTTTGCACAAAGTCAGAATTGTGATCAAAGTCAAAATCTGACATTAACAATTCAGGGATGAAAATTGTGAGAGTCACAGTTGCAGAAATATTCAGATTTATAAAGTGTTTTTTCCCCAACACATACATCCAGTATGAATGTGTTGGTGATTTCTGCAGCACCCAAATCCTTGTTCCACCTCCCCTTCCTCCACTTGGAAGGCATTTGATTTATAATTCTAAAGTAAACCAGCTCCAGGATGCTTTCACACACACATACAAGCTGTGTGCGCACTGATGCGTAAATGTACACCAACAACAGCGCCTCGCCTCTTACAGACAACTTCTAATACACTGTTATCTTTCTGTTTCTTTTTTTTTCTTCTTCTTCCCACCTCCGCGAGTTATCGAGTGAAGCCTGGAGGCATATGACCAAAGCAGAGAAGGGGTGATGGGTGGTGGGGGAGCGAGAGATGCCGATTGATAATTAACTGAGGTACCTGAATCGGTGACGTGGGTGGAGGATGGAGGGGTGAGGAGAAGGAGGAGGGAGGGAGAGAGAGAGAAAGGAAAGAGAGAGAGCGAGAGAGAGCGAGAGAGAGAGAGAGAGGTGGAAGGAGGCGGGCCGGAGAGGAGAGAGAGGTCTTGGCTCTTGTCTTGCAGAGGCTCTTTGAATCAGTGGCAGTGGCTGAGACAACCCTGTTACCGGCCACTGTTAACCCGGTAAGTCCCCCTACTCTTCTTCTTTTTCTTCTTCTCTCTCTTTAATGACTATATTCCACCTTTATCTGTCATTTGATGCAAGTTAAAGCTCCGTTTTCACCCAGAAAGAAGGAAAAAAAAGAAAGTTTACGCACGAAGCGGAGGCAAATGAGGGGACAAAACGCTCCACAGCTGCTTATTTCTAATCCTTATGCAATTTACTTTAAAGAATGCGGTCAAATTTGATGTTTAAAATGATATTAAAAATGAAAAGGGTGGATTTTATTTACTTTTCTGCTGCCGAAGCGCTCCAACAAGCCAAATGGAAACTTGGGCGCTGTCCATGGTGCTGAAAGTGTCCGCTCGTCTTGCTCTAATTTCTGCTTGTTGATAAAGTTTCTCCTGGATGCTGTGAGTCCCGTTTTTACCAGTAAAACCCCCTCTTTTCTCCACAGCCTCAATCTCACTTGAGATCAATACCTAATGGTAAAGAAAAGACAGATTTCCCCGGAGGACGTCGCGTCTTTTACGCAAAGAAGCGAACTTTTATTCAAGAAAACGGACTCCGTGTTGGATCAGACAAGTTTGAAGATGCATTGCGCGTCTGCTGAGCGCAAAATCCGCCAGTCAAAGTCCGCGAGTGAGAGCTTGGCACAGACAGGAGTAGCTGAGGTGAAGAAGCCCGCAAGAAGCTCCGCTCGGTAAGAAGTGGGAGAGTGATATTCAGAGGAAAAGAAATACCAGAAGAGAGTGGAGGCCAACACACACCAGCGCGTCCTCAAATGATGGGGATACAGCACCTTCTGCTTCTTTTGATTTACTTAGACCCGCTGAATGTCCTGTGCGCAGCCACCGCCAACAAAAAGAGCAAAATCCCGCCGAAGAGGAACTCCAAGTTGAGGGAGGTCAACGGCAGCACCACCGCGGTCCCGGCGGCCGCGGCCGTCCCGGGGAAGATCACCCAGGTCCAGGCTCCGTCGATTGTCCAGCACGACACCTGCATGGGCTACTACGACGTGAGCGGGCAGTACGACAAAGAGTTCGCCTGCAACAACACCGACCACCGCTTCTGCTGCGGCAGCTGCTTCCTGCGCTTCTGCTGCGCGGACCGCGGCAAGCGGCTGGAGCAGAAGAGCTGCACCAACTACAACACCCCGGACTGGATCAAAACCCAGCCCCCGTCACCGGCGCCAACAGGTGACACGTACGACCCCGAGCTGGACCAGACCAACACCACGGTGTACATCACCTGCGGGGTCATTGCGCTCATCATTGCCATTGGGATTTCTGCTAAAGTTGCCTATGATAAAGCCACCAAGCCCCCTCAGGAAATGAATGTACACAGGTAAGGCTCTATGTTGTCACTGTTGATTCTGGCTTCTGAAAAGTAGAATTCAATAAGTTGTGCTTTGCATATTTAGACTGTTATATCACTCTCAAGTTAGGATCGTATAAGCTGTATACTCACACTGTAATAGAACATATGTCAAACTCATGTGTAGTTTACCTGGAATGGATCTGTGGAGAAAAGTCTTGAGCCCACAATGAGACTTTTTTTTTCTCTCTCCTTAAAACCATTATGAAGCCAATATATCAGCTGCTCTCACCAACTGATGCCTCACTATCATGGGTTCAGTCCAGCTCCTGACATAACTGTGAGCTTCCCTCTCCAATATCGTCAGTATAGCTGCCTTTCCATGGTCCACATCCCATTCTGTGTCAGCCCTCAGAGGGGGGAGCGGCTGGTATTTTATGTCCGCTGAACCTCGAGGGAGAATAAAGCAAATGCCACTGAAAACCATTATGAGTGATCACATTTATCCTGATGGGAGTGGTCTCCTCTCCAGCGACCATATTTTTAAAATCCTCCAGGCAGCAGCAGCAGCAGCAGCAGCAGCAGCAGTGGCCACTGAATTGCTCGATGAACATTAAAGCAACATAAAAAAAAATACATCCTGTGGCCATTTCAGTCACCAGCTGAACAAATTTGCTGTGTGGTAATGTTGGGAACAGACCTAAGGGAATGTTTTCTTCTTCTTCTTCTTTTTCTTTTCAATATTTCTGAATGTTGCCAATTATATTTGTATTTCTATACAAAGGACTGCTGTTTTTGTCCTGAATCAAACCTCCCAGACAGACAGCCTCATCAATTCTGAGCTGAGTCTGTCTCAGTTGATTTACACAGTGCCTCCTTTGTTGCCCAAAAAAATATCTCAGATGACCAAATGATGGGCATAATTTGGCATCTGAAAGACTGCTGGCCTCTTGATAAACTGTACAATATGTTCTACGCTGCAAATGGTGATTGGCTTTCTTAATACTTGGTCTGAAATCTCGCATTTTCTTAATAACATTAAATATTCATTACAATCAGGCTTTAAAGTTCCCCTTCCTTAGCCAGACTGAGTGTTAAAGTTGTAATAAATGACAGAGTAACGGCTTCTTTAAGATCGTCCGGGTTGTGGTTTGTGCAGAATTCATTGACAGCCGCCTGCAGACAGCCTCTGAGATGCCAAAAGATTCAGAATCAGATGTCGCTAGATTGTGATTGGTGCACAAAAGTAGATGAAATCACTATTTAGCAAATGAGCCCCGCCCACTTCAAACCATTGAGAAGACTACAGAAATATCTCATGTTGCTCCTCAAAGAACTCCAAAAACTATGTTTGGCTTAAGGTCTGCAGCTACAGTTAAAATGATTAGATGATTCATCGATCAACAGAAAATTGATCCACCATTGTCATTTTTCCACTAAAAACACAAAACATTAGATCGATCCAGTTTCTCAAAGTGAGGATTTCAGAACCAAATATTGCACACTTGAGTTCTGGACAATCCAAAGCCATCATCTTGGGCTTGAGGAATTTGTCATGTGAAATTTGATAAGTTGCATTTCTATATGCAAATATGACAAATTAATGAATGTTGTGACAAACTATAGGGGCTTCCAGTGTTAACCAAGTGTAATATGATCCAAATCTACAGTTTCACCAATTCCTGCAGAGCGTTTTGACATCTTTCTGCAGGTTTTTGTGGTTTTCAGTCCATCAAATGTAGCATTTTCTTAACCTTTTTTTTAGAAATCCACAACCTGCTCAGCACCAAACCGCAGGAAGTGGGCCGGAGATCATTTAGCAGCTGAAAAAACAGATATTTCTGTTTTTTAGAGACCAAACAAGAACTAACCTCCATGCTGGAGGTTTAAATAGGCAACAGTTTCGTAAAAAGTCAAGATCATTGCATCTTGTGTTGTTTTTGCTTCCACCAAGAGGCCAAAATGTGTTACTGCAAGTTTTAAGGTCAGCGTATTGCATCAAAACCCTGGAGGCAACTTGATTTTGCTTTTTATAGCTTGTGAGTTCACTTCTCATATTTGTCTGTTGTTGGGAAGAATTTCCTGCTTTGGTTTGAATCTTTGCTTTCACCTTTAGGTTGTTTTTTATCAGATGAGTGTCCTTTCATGAGAAGTGAAGTGAACACTCAAAACCTGTTGTGTTTTCAGTTTGACAGACTACAATATTTATATAAAATCCACCTTTGTGCGTTGTGTCTCTGACGTGTACTCCATCTCCACTGAAGCAGCCACTGAAATGTATAAAAGGATAAATGGGTATTTAATAGGGGTTAGGTCTGACTAAAATTGCATGTTTTCCACCCACTGGTGAAGTCACTTAACCGTCGCTCTTATTCAAGAGCCACTCGAGTCACCTCCTATTATCCAGAGCCCGTTTTGGACAGCAGAGGAGGACGTCTTGCTCCTCAGTCGGAGCCCAGGAGTCGACTTAATGATATGAAGATAATTGAGCATTGTGATGCCTCGGTCATGAAAGTTTGGCGCCTGCTGCTTCGGAAATGTCAGGAGAAATTAGTCAGCTTGCTTCCTCGGAGAAACGCGGTGACTAGTTCTTGACAGAAAATGCTTAAATTCAAGCACCGGAAACAACACAAAGGAGCTCTCTCAGTGGATCACTTATAGATTGAATTCAAGCTACGACGATGTTTCAAAAGTTGGCACAGTCGGCTTTTAATCTCAATAATACACTATTTAGTTTGAAAGAGACACAAAAAAACATAACAGATCTCATGATGCAGCAAGTTTTCCATCTCTGCTTTGAGAAATGAAGAGATGGTGAAGTTTATGTCTTCTTGCTGCTCTTGTGTCCCAGCCACGGGGCGCACTTTCAAGTGGATCCGCTTAATGCCGCCACTTCAATATGAGCAGTGGCCATGAGAGTTTAGAGCGAGGGCAATTAAACGAGGAGGCATGGCTTGCTGGGCGCTCAGTAGCGTTTTTCCCCTTCTTTTTATGATTTGTTTATTTTCACCGACCATTTGGCACATAGAGCTGCCGTAATGATGTCTGCTGGAATAGACCTCAGAGGCTGGCAGCAGACATTCACGCTGACAGCCGTGACCAAGAAGAAGTAGTGGAACATGGGATTAGCTTTATATTTGGCGAGGGTCTGCTCCTGAAAAGTGGGAGCGTCTCTGTTAATTTCCGGTGCTTCTCTAAAGTGATTTAGACTCCTACGTCTGTGACTGAGCGGTTGAGGGGGGGGAAGGATTGTGAGCAGAATACTGAGCTGTTGGCAGACCTTTGCTGTTTGGTCTGTGACCTTCACCGAAACACAAGAAATGCGAGCGAGGGCTAAAGCCAGTGATTTGAACAGGTTGTATTGATCACCTTCCTCAGAGTAAACTGAGATGCAATTTATGCCAGCTAGGTGGTGAGAACAAAGCTTCGCTCTCTGATTGCAGTGCAGAAATGCCAAATATATCTCTGAGGTCATCTCAGCAGCATCATTTGTCCAAAAATGACAGCCTAAATTTAGTTCCACTATTGATTGAGTTGATCTCAATGTACTACAACAATATCTAGAAATGCTGGCAGGTCTGAAAAGGATATGGCTGGTTATATTCTATACTTTGCTTTTATCAATAAATACAATAAATGAACAGGGTTTTAATCCAACTCTCAATTCTTTGAAATGTCCCCAGCTTCTTTGTGATCTTGACTCCCAGGCCCAAGTCCACTGGTTCCAAATGATGTAGGTCTTTAAAGATGGGTGATAAACTTAAAAAAGTAGTAGTAGATAGCTTTCTTCAAACTGGAGAAATCATTTGTTGGGAATAGTTTTCAGTGGTGAATTCATCCTCATTTGGTGCTGTAGTACGTGCTTAGGTGGCCTTGCGTTGTTTAGTGCTACTTGCAAAGAACATACCGTCCTTTGCTACCAATGGGGCTGACCAATATGCAGAACACTAATTAATTTATTTTCACAGGTTAAGTTTACTTTTTGACTTCTTTTCCACTGAAAGTCAATATACACCCAGCAAGTGGTTCCCTTGTCTGCAGAATATGATATGTAGGTCGGTGCATCTCTATAGCACAACGGTGCTTCATTTATAACAGTACGTTGTGACACACTTTACCTTTAACAAAAAAAAAAAAAAAGCAACTCTAGCAAATAAAATCTCGACCATATTTCAGCCAGACTTGCAACAGCGTGACTCAATGATTAGATTCTGTGGAGAAGCAGGTAGACATAAACACTTATGTGAGTCTGTTGAAAAGAGATTATGACAACAAGAAAACATGTCTAATGTCGTCATTCTTGTCCTTTAAGGATACTACTTTAAAACTGTAAAACACCACTGTTGTTTTAGCAAACTTGTGCTCCTCTGTAACACAGTTTAATTGTGGTGTTCCCCAAGGCTAGATTCTTGGCCCACTGTTGTTTTTATTCTAAATGCTGTTTCTCAGTTAGATAGAACAAAACTGTTTTAGGCTCTATATTAAATGTAAAATGCATACATCCAAACATGAAATATTCTTGCTCCACAATATATAATAAAATTAATGATGGGTTGAGTGGTCCTCGCTGGATTGGTGACAAAGACAGATCTTGAACTTTCTTTTAAATTGCACCTTAAAGACTTTTAAATAAGAATGGTGACTAAAACTTCTTATATTTTTCCACTCCAATCTTAAATTATATGTAAAGTTTTAACTTTTTTCCACTATCTTTGTGTATAATGATCTCTATTCTTGTTTTTACTTGTGGAAACTTTTTTACTTTTACTATCTTTGTCTTTGTAAAGCACATGATATGTTTCTTAAGGAAAGTGCTTTCCACACAAAATTCAGTACCTGTGAGGACTGTGAGTACCATTGTTGTGGATTTTCATCCTTGATCATTAGTTTTCTTTCCTTATTAAGATGCATGTTAAGAGTTAGGCCTATTTCTACAAACTGTAGCTGCTCCTTCTGCTCACTACGAGGTAGTCAACTGGGACAATGCAAAATCAGGTCGTCTCTGTCTGCGAAAAAGAAACAGCTAAAGTGTGCTCACCCTGGAAGGGAAATGCTATTAATATACTGTATATCTCCCAAAGTCACAGAGTTATGGAAAAGTGGACTGTGTGGTTGCTTTAGGTTGACATTGACACAGTTAAATTGCCCTTTCATTTCCTTTAAGAAAACGCTGCGCCGGCAGTCCATCTCATACAGCAACACTGTGCCACCAAAGAGTCGGAAACAGCGTTTGGTGAAATATCACTTTTCTTCTGACTCCGACTTAACTCTTAATAAATGGGCCTTGAGCTTGAGTCCAGCTCACATAATTGTCTGTACCTTGTGTACCGCGTTATTGAAAACCTAACTCCCCTGTGACAGTGGGTGTAATTAGGATTTCCTCTCTGTCTTGCTCTAAACCTCCATGATTCAAATTGGAGCTGTAGCTAAATAAATTAGGTAGACCTTTAGGGGGGATGTTGATGAGAAAAAAAGAGAAAACGTTGGTAATTGGAAAAGAGAGCTATGTCAGTCCATCTAAAAGAAAAAAAACCAAAAAACTTTTGTGTGATTTCTTTTCAGAGCCCTGGCAGACATTCTGAGGCAACAAGGTCCAGTTCCAATATCTCAGTATGAACATGAAAACATTGCAGCGATTGATGGGTCCCCCAAAGATGAGACGCCGGTCAGAACCTCGAAGAATCATTACACCCCTGTTCACACGAAGGCATCAAACCATGGTAGGTGACACCAGCGCTCTGCTTTCACACAGATCAATAACTCAGACTGTGAGTATGTTTGAAATAACTGGCTTTAAGTGTAGCTTGCACAGCATTTCCACGATCCATCTTTATGTTATGATGTTGCAGAAACCCCCTCTGCTCTCTTTAATCTGCCTTTGATTGACATCCACTGAAATAGATGCTGGTCCCTCAATCTTTCTTAAGAGGAAACACATAAGGAAATGTATAGGGTATTAAATGCAAGGCCCCTCTCTGAGTTCTCCTCTCCCTCGTGCTGTGGTCCCATAAGCCTACTCAGCATTGGCTCAAAAATTGAGATGCAAATTATTATCTTCTGCGGGCGACACAAGCTTTTTGTCCAGAGATAATTCTGGTGTGCACGGCTGTTCCTCCTACTTTTATCCGGTCGGTCTCCAGATCCCTGCTCCAGGGATCAGCTCGTTTGCTAAGTGCCCTAGTATGGTGTCCCAGATTCAGAAACGTTATGTTTTACTCTGGTGTCACCCTGCCTTCACCGTTCTCTCCATCAGCACCGCCACCCAACATGGAGCAGATGTGTCAGAGGAAAGCTGATACAGAACTGCAGGATATGAGTTGCTTTTCTCACTTTTATGCAACAGAATGACTTTGATTTATTGGTGTTTATGATTGAAATGGAACTGCCCAGTCATTAGGAGAAGCAGCTTTTGCCTCTACGTTTGTGATCTACCAAATAAACAAGCAGAAAATGCATTACATGAACACCAATTTAGATAGTCTTTCATAATCTATTCTTCATTTTCTTATCACCCTTTTCCTACTTTATGCTTTGAGATTCAGTTTTGAACTTCAAGTTTTGCAAACATCAGCAGAGACCTTGCAGGAACTTTTTAGATTTTGTTGGCACTATTTGAAGTTAAAGCCAAATCAGTGTATCTTTAACTCTCTGAACTCCGAGCAGTTTCTTTGTGTCACATTTCTGCTCACTGTAATGCAACTCTGTGGAAACAGCACAGAAGTACAGAGAACTCAGAAATGTATTTTGTGCAGTTTAAGAATGTTATATAGCCATGAATAATAAAAAAGACAAAATGAAGGCTGAATTTTTTGGATTTTCACTTTTCAAAATTTGAGAAAAATTGTAATAAACATGTACAACAGCCCATAGTTGCTGAAAACAAATAGTGACTCTACATACCAGTGAAAAAATTTGAGCAAATTTCTAACCGATGCAGATAGAATCAAGAGATTTCAAAGGCTAAGAACGATTTGAAGCTTAGATTCGAATGGAACAGCATGTCACCAGTGACTAGACCAGTTAAAGGATGAAAATCTAAACTTTCTGTTTTTAAAGATACTAGCTTTATTTAATAGTGAACTTCTGTGATTTAAAAAAAAAAAAAAAAAAGATTTCATGCCTTTCAAACTCGTGAGTTGGGTTTTAGGTTCAGAGGGTTAAAGTAAATGATCACGTATGTGTACATTTGTCCTGTGCAATCCCACGTTGACATAGTAATGATACAGGACATAATATGCACTATTTATAGAAGTACAAAACGTTTAACAAAATGTTTGAATTCTGGAAGTTAGTTTAAAACAAGCAAAAGAACATGTTGTTGAGTCTGTAGCAACTGAAGATCAGGGTGTAACACAGAAAAGAATGAATTATCAACCCAACAAAATGGACAGCTGCCTCAGGGTCCCACATTTCACAAGGCTCAAGCCCTACACATTCACTATGAGGTAATAAGTTTTGTTCATTGCAAATTTCTTCGATAATCCTGCATGCATGACTAAAGCCGATTATGAACTTAATCGATCGGAGGCTTGTAGGCCAACTCCTGCGTTATTACTTGTTGTTAAGGCTGTGTCTTGTTGCCCAGAGGGGGACTGAGTTACACAGTCTAAATTACTTTCAGAAAGGCTATTTTGCCAATATATATGATGCCTACTCGTGGGAGGAATTAGGGTGTCAAGACATGAAAGATTATGTCACCATCCTGGCCAAAAAAAAACAACAAATTGATCTCTTGGCAAAGCAGTGCAGGAACACCAAAGCAGTGATTGCACAGAAACAAAATCTAAACAAAAAAGGTTTTAAAGTTCACCCGTCTGCATTACACCTTCGAGCCCAATTTACCAAGAAGTGATGTTCAAAATGACGACTTCTGCAGCAGGGAAACAACGTTACAGAGACTTTCTGTGCAGTAAATGGATTTCGTTGAGCTGGCATGTGTCTGCATGTCCTGTGCTGCTCATCTTTATGAACTGTTGCAGGTCTGGAATCAGCAGCAGTATTTTCAGACTGAAAGAGAAACAAGCAGGGAGGGGTTTCTTATTCTCAATTTTGCATGAGTTTTGTATTTTGTGTAAATGCTACATAGAGAGATAAAACAGTTGCTGTGCACATTGTACAGTGAGCTACAGTGGCTCCGTTTGTCTGTGCAAACACGGAGTAAGGAATATTCCTCTGTGTGATTCACAAAGCCACATGTTGTTATTCTGTCGCCCACAGAAAAGATGTCAGGGAATTATAAAATCTGTGTCTTAATAGCCCGCTATTGCTTTCTGTGTGACCAGTAGCAAGCTGTCATATTACAGGGGTGAGTGCTTTTGAATGGAGAGATGGGGGGGGGGAGGGTGTCCGAGCAGGGATGGATGCACCTCAGGGAAGCCGTGACTCAGATATGACACATTTTTAAAACAGAAATGGGAGTTTAAAAAAGAAAATAGAAAGTACTGTTTCTTCAGTGAAAAGAGGGCCAAAGCTGTTTGGTGTTTTCTGTGCTGCTAAATATTTCTGGCACTGCACTGAAACATACGAATATAATTACAATGCAGGAAAGTATATATAAGGACGTGTGTGTGATTAGTTGTTTGTGTGTCAGTGGTGTGTTTCTGTGAAGATTATGTTCAGATTTCTACAACAGGAATGAATAGATTTGACCATGTTTTACTTCTTTGACCCTTTGAACCCCAAACAGTTTATGGGTGTTTTTTTTTGCCACATTTTTACTCACTGTGGCCTCATTTTTCACTGCAATATAAAGTCCTGCACCTCCATGGAAACAGCACAACCATGACTAGAAGTAGAAATCCTGCAAAAACTCCTCTGTGCAGCAATTCCTATGTATATCAGTTATGACATAAATAATACGAAAAGCAACAAAATTATAAATAAATAAATAAATAAATAAATAAATAAAAATCAATATGTACAGAATTTGTCCAGATGTGTTGCCTATGGCAGAAAAACAATTGGTTACACGTTACAAATATTTACCTTACATTTTTAATTTATTTCCAAAGTTTTACCTGCATGGTTAAAACACAGCCTGCAGTTCAGCAAAAAAGTCCTTGAAGTTACGCTGTGTGAGTATTTTTGTTTCAGCTGAGTCATTGTTGGCTTCATGGTTATGCCAAAAATGTACAGATTTTTTATTTTTAGCAAAATCTTGATAGAGCAAATGTGTTTAAGGGTAAATTTTAAACGGGATGTATAATAAACAGATTTTATTGAAATATCCCAATTTTTAGCTCAAATTTGGTTACGCTTTAGATGGAATGACACGTCACAGATGAGCAGTACAAACACTGTTGAGAACGGTGGAACTCCAACAACTCTTACAATTTTTGGCTCTGATAAATAGTGTTTTTTTGTTTTGGTTTTTAAAATCTTATCTTTTTGAACCCCCGGATGGGTTTAATTGTTCCGAAAGTTATATGGCATTTGGAGCTTTAAGGATTTATTTCATACAGCAGTGTATTGTAACGATTCTTTTTTAGGTTCTTTTAACATATTTTGCAGTATTACAAGATGCCAGTTTATGCATAAAAGTATCCTGAAAGAGCAAGTGACAATCTGGTTCTCATTACAACTAGAATTTTTTAAGGCGGCAACAATACCCCACAGTAGCTTTAGGGGTAGAAGAGTAGTCGGTTAAGGCAAGTATTAATACGTGGCAGTGATTATAGACTGTTAGAATAAGGAGATTATGTCTAATTTTATAAATGGGGTAAAATGTATGATAAAAGCAGAACAGATAAAAACAGCCATTAAAGTGTTTAGCATTTGAGTGTACTTTCCCACTATACGTATATAATAAATAGCTGGCTGCTTAGCACTTAGAGAAATCTCAGCATAACCTTTGGTACCTCAAGAGATCAGGTTAATTTAAGGTTCTGAGCTTTCAGTGTTTATTTTGCCCTTGAGGTCCTCAGTAAATAAAGATTTATATGTTTCCAATCAATATTTTATGTTTCTGTCCCACGGTGAAAGGTGCAGCAGTTCACCTCTCTACCAGCAGTGTTTGTCTTTCTTTATAGTTTTCTTGACCCCGTGATGTTTACCACTGCAGCCAAGGATAAGCTGAAAAGAAAGGGATGAAAACATTCTTCCTCTTTATAAGTTGGCCCTTATGAAGGCAGTCAGCTGCTGCAGTGATTCTTTGGTCTGAATCCCTCCTCAGGGTCACAGCAACAGATCAGCGTTAATGAGCAGAGAGAATAAAGATGGATTTGAATACATTTTAGTGACTGGTTTGGAAGCAGAAACGAGTAAAAAAGTTACTGTCAGAAGCCATATTCAGTCAGTGGTGTCTTATAGTATGTAGCTCATTCCCTCTTTTCAGTCCTTTTCCTACTTGTCTGAAAAAGTGACAAAAATTCTTCCCAAAATAATTCTGCTTTGGCCAGTTTTAGGGCATTTTACCGAAAAAGGACAGTAAAAGGGAAAAGCACATTAAAAAAGAGGCTGAGGATGTGCAGCAGTGGTTGATTTCCAAGTATCAGCAGTATATTGTACAATATGAACAAATTGCACCTGCTGTTCCAGAAGAGGCATTATATCTAGATGTGGTGCTGATGGAGTGTGTCTTCTGGTGAGGATAGTACTCCTCCAGAACTGTCCCACAGTGGGCATTATCATTGCAATTTCCTGGAGTCCTGTTCTGCTCTTTCATTTCGTCCTCTAAAGTTTCTATGTTGCTGTGAAAATAGGCGACAAATGTCTTCCACAC